AAGGACTTATATGCATGCATATGAGAATAACTAATGGACACAAGACACTGTGGGGTGGGGGAAGCCGGGGGAATGTCACGGGGGTGGAAAAAAAGGAAACATGTGTAATACTCTTTGTAATACTTTAAGAATTAAAAAAAATTCTTTACAGGTGAGCCCTAGCCAGTTTGGCTCAGTGGATAGAGCATTGGCCTGTGGATTGAAGGGTCCTGGGTTCGATTCTGGTCAAGGGCACATGCCTGGGTTGCGGGCTTGATCTGCAGTAGGGGGTTGGCAGGAGGCGGTCAATCAGTGATTTTCTCTCATCATTGATGTTTCTATCTCTCTCTCTCTCTCCCTTCCTCTCTGAAAGCAATAAAAAAATATTTAAAAAAAAAGAAAATAATTTTATGGTTGGGGGGTCACCACAACATGAGGAACTGTATTAAAGGGTCGCGGCATTAGGAAGGTTGAGAACCACTGCAAGCGTGATATACTCGTTAGCATGTTACTGTAAAGTTGTAGGCTGGGATTTGAATCCAGGCCTTCTGCCTGTAGACCCTGTGCTTTTATGTGGTGAGAGCCAGGGCTGAACAGGATGCATGTACGTCTTATGACCCACAGCTCTTTCCAGTAAGACAAACCAATGCAACTCCTGATACTCTGGCCAGGCAAGTTGTCACAAGCACTAGGCTTTGCCACTTGGTTCTGGGCAAGACTTCTAACCTCACTGAATTTCAGTTTCCTCACTTTTAATTCTTAATGGCAATTCTATTCTCTCTGAATACCTCAGAGGGTTGGGAGGACCAAACAAGGGAAAGACTTTGTAAACCGTAAAGTACTTTGGACATGCAAGATGAAGCGTTCTCTTCTGAAATACAAGGCACCGTGTTTAATGGCACTGTTAGAATCATGGGCCTCTCACTTACTGTGCTGTAACTAAGAGACCAACGTGGAATTGACATGAGATTCTGAAAATCAGTTCAGCTCAGGCCCTTACGATGGGAAACCACCTTACAAATTCTGGGAGAACTAGATGATGACCTTGACTAAATGACAAGGATAGGCAGACGGGGAAGGCAGAATGACCATCAAGCCCTCTGACGCACACCAAGCCCATGTCTGCAGCTTTAGAAACTGGTCCTCACCGACAGTGACCCCAACACTGCTACACTTCCAAGTGTCTTTGTGCTGGTAGAGAAACGATATTCGTACCTCTACTCATCCCTCTAAGTAAGGCTCAAAATAGTTTCTCTATTAGTAGTGATGACACCCAAATTTACTATATCCATTCTATTCTAAAAATATTTAAGGATATAAGCAAAACGGAGCCAAGACACTCACCATCAGGTATCTGAATGGAGCCTTCTGGGCCCCACTCACTCCAGAATCCGTGGTCTGGCTTGCAGCGAACCTGGACAAGGTATTTTTTTCCTGGATATAAGCTGAGAACCTTAAACTGAGTTTGCTGCCCAGCGAAATGAACCTAAGGAGGAGCAAGGAAAACAGAAGTCACTCTGACTTATGTTCTGAAGAAACAGACTTTTCCCTTAGAGAAGAAACTATTGGAGGAGTGAGGCCAGGCGATCAGACTTAGTAGATACCTTGCTCTCACCATTCTACCCTCTCAGCCCATCCCTTTTCACTCTGAAACATTGTTCACACAAAAATTAACAGGTTTTCTACCTCTCCATTTGGAACTCTATTTCAGAAAGACAAATATTCCGCACCCTCCTCACTGCCTTCAAAATTCTACTTTACAGAAGGTGACCAGTTAATAACATCATAAAATAGTTATTTTGTGAACCCCAATGAAGTAATTGATTCAAGGATCATTCAAGTAAAGCCACTAGAGAACTGGGATGTATGTTGACGCAATAGTGCACAAATTAAATGTGACTTTACAATTCAGGCACCAGGTTGACCCCTAAACCAGGGGTCAGTTTTAACATCATGTATGAGGTCAACCAGATGGTTTGTGTCCTCTGACATGATGTGATAGGAAGTAATATAATGTCACCTCTGAAGTCCTCTTGCGCCAAACTGTCCAACCCAAATCTAATCAATTCTTTAGATCTAATGTCTGGTTACAGGAAATATAGGGGCAGAGAAATTAGCAACATGACCTCACAAAGAATTAATCAGATTAATGCAAAAGAGAGATCATTCTACGGGACTGAGCACACTGAGACTGAAGGCACATAACTAATGACCAGTCACGTGCATTGTCCTGGATGGATGCTGGTCTGGACAAACTAGCTGTTAAAGACATTTTTTTGAAGCAATTGGGGGAACTAAAATACGGACAGGCTACTTGAATTATGTAAAAATTTTAGTTAATTTTCGATGTCTGATTTTATTTGGGCTATGTTTAAAAATGTTTCCTTTCTAAAAGAGACAATCTAAAGCAATGGTTGCCAACCATTCAAACCTCACGGACCACCAGTGGTCTGTGGACCACTGGTTGCCAACCACTGACCCAAAGTACTTAAAGTGGAATATCAGAATGCCTATAATTTATTGTATTACTTATTATTTTTAAAACATTTATTTGAGAGACAGAGAGAGAAAGAACATTGATTTTGTTGTTCTACTTATTTGTGCATTCATTGGCTGCTTCTTGTATGTGTTCTACCTAGGGATTGAACCCACAACTTTGGCATATCAGGACAACACGCCAACCAAAAAAGCTACCCGGCCAGGGCCTCTGTATTATTTCTTTACATTAAAATAATTTGAAGTGAATAAAAATGCCACTGCTCATTGACTGCTTACACTGAGATTTTTTCCTCCCACTTAGTGCCACTGAAGTACTCTCATAGGTGTCTAGATCTATGATATCCTGAAGGAGGTGGTTTGGAAACCTGGTGGAAGAGATTGTTCAGCGCAAAGAAGGGATTAGCCTTGGGAGAGCTGTGAAGATGCACCTCATCAACCCCAAGGGAGGGGAGAAGGCCCTTCGACATCAGCATCAGGAGGGCAACATGATGCCCAGTAGTTAGGAGGAAAGACCTGTTCCCCGTAGCAAGGGTTTAATCTTTGTCAAAGGACATGGTTCCCTCCAAATGCTCGTGGTTGACTCACCTCCCACTCATTTGCTTTTTCAGGCTTTAATCGAATTTCGTATTGTAGTGTGAGCCAGCCGGATCTTACGTCGACCTGGGTGGGTGGAAACCATTTTATCCACAGGTACGGTTTTTGGTCTTCTGGTTGTTTTACTTCCAAAATCAGGTTTATTGGAGGGTCTGGTTCAACTGAAAATAGGAAAGAAATCCCATATTTAGTAAAAGGGGTATTTGAACACAAAACTATATGACTTCCTGTTTCACTCCACCCTGCTGATGAGACATCTTGTATTTGATGTCAGGTGCTGGTCAGCAGAGTTGGGATCAGGCTGAAGCAAGGGAAATATGTAGGATGAAAAGTTTCAGGAGGAACAAATGGCCAACAAGCACAGGAAAGACCCATAGTGTCATCAGTCATTTGGGAAACGCAAATCAAAATCACAACTAGATACCATTTCATCCCCACTTAGGATGGTTGAAATTCAAGAAATGAAAAATAACAAATGAGAGTGTTGGAGACATTCCCTCATACATTGCTGGTGGGAATGTAAAATGGTGCAATGCTGTGGAAAAAGTCTGGAACTTACTCAAAAGGTTAAATATTAAGTCACGTCACCCATCAATTTCATGTCCTAGCTAACATACTAAAAGAAATGAAGGCAGGTGTTCAAACAAAAACTCATCCATGAATGTTCATAGCAGCTCTATTCACAATAGCCAATAGGTGAAAACAACCCAATTGTCCATCAACTGATGAATGGCTAAACAATATCCATAGAATGAAACATTATTCAGCCATAAAGAGGAAGGCAGTATGTATTGATACAGGCAATAACATGGGTGAATCTTGAAAACATTACACTACGTGAAAGAAGCCAGACACAAAGGCCACCTACGATATGACTCCATATATACATATATATAACATATGCAGAATAGGCAAATCTGTAGAGAAAGAATGCAGATTAGTGGGGCTGGAGTAAGGGGGGAAATCTGGAGTAACTACTTAATGGGTATTTGGAGTCATGAAAGTATTCTGGAACTAGATATGGTGATGGTTGCATAACATTGAGAATGAACTCATACCAAGCACTAAATTGCATACTTTAAAATGGTTAAAATGGTGAATTTTATGTTATGTGTATTTTACTATGTTAAAAAAAATTAAGGAGGCACTTACTCTCATATTCCTTCAAGTACAAGTCTGTGAGTGCCTCATTGAGAGTGAGATGCCTAGAACCCTGGCTTGCCTTATCCTAGTCTCAGTCTTGCTAGTCAGTAATACTTTCTCACTTCATTTATTACCTCCTCAGCCCACTCTCCACACCAGGTGGCATAAGAGTGAATGTAGCTATAGTGTACTTGACATTATAACCTGTAATTACCTACAAAAGGAAGGTTAGGAAATTTGCCACTAATCCTAATGCTTCTATGTTACCAAGTAAATACCTACGAAAGATTATTTTATATGCACTCACTAAACAAACATCAGTTATTCAATAGAAGTTTTAAGTTAAACACAATTCTGAGAAATGCCTGTGATCAAAAAAATGTTGTGCAGAAGTCCATGTACAATGTCCAGGGTGATTCTTTAAAGCAGTTTCTCACCCTCAGCACCATTTGTACTTTGGATCAGGTAATTCTTTGTTGTGGGGGCCAACCTGAGCATTGTGGGACGCTTAGCAGCATCTCTGGTCTCTGCCTATTAGATGTCAGTAATACCCTTGTCTCCCCTCCCTGGGCTATGATAATAAAAAAAAAATGGCCCTAACCAGTTTGGCTCAGTGGATAGAGCATCAGCCTGCGGACTGAAAGGTCCCAGGTTTGATTCTGGTCAAGGGCATGTACCTTGGTTGCGGGCACATCCCCAGTGGGGGGTGTGCAGGAGGCAGCTGATCGATGTTTCTCTCTCATCAGTGTTTCTAACTCTCTATCCCTCTCCCTTCCTCTCTGTAAAAAATCAGTAAAATATATTAAAAAAAAAAGTGTTTCCTGCCATTGCCAAATATCTGTGGGAGGCAAAATAGACCCCAGTTGAGAATCACTGCTTTCAAGTGATATAGCAGTTACTCATTTTAGAACCTTTCTTGCTTTCACTGTTTTGCTCTCAAATACTAGTTGAATCTTTGAGGGCAACACAATTCAAGAAAGAACCATAAAGAAGAAATTATTTGGCATTTAGCATCTTAAAGACTTCATATCTCAAGTAAATTTATATGACTGAAATTTATTGTATTCTGACTTGTCAGTGGGTTACCTTGTGGATTTTCCTAAACTAAGATTCAATTCACTTTCTACCTCCATGCTCATTGCAATGATTTTCTGGGGGCAGAAAACATTCAAATGTGAGCCAGTTGGTGTTATTAGCCACTGAAAACATGACAATGCAATGACATGCACGTGCGTATTTGAGATTCCCAGCCTAATTTCCCTTGTTGGGTGGCGTTAGATAAGTCTTAGGTAATCTTGAATCTAATACTTCTCCCTAGATTATTATCAAAGATGAGGGCTGACCCCAGTCCTGGCTAACCCATGTCTTGTCCTAAGATTCCCTCTGTCATCCCTGCTAAACCACAGAGGCCACTACAGTGATGCCTTCTTGCCCTGCAGCTTAATGTGGATCATGCAAAGCAAGAAACAGCTCTTGGGTTGATTTTGTTTTGCTTTGCTAATGGGGTCCGCAAACCTGGTACGTGTGGTTGTGGCCTTCAGCCTGCTGTTCAAGCAACATGCTTTACTCCTCAAATTCTTTATTTGTAAAAGAAGAGTTCCACTTGCTAAGAAGTATGTTTACGTTGAGAATTCAATTTGGGCAAAGCAGTTGGAGCTGGTCCTGTGGGTGTAGAAGCAGATGAACTCCAAGAGCTGCTACTCTGGTGAGCAGCTCTGTCCTCCAGGGGGAGAGAGAACTGAAGTCCCAGCTTGCCTCGGGGGAAGGGGACACTGATTGCAGGAGGAGGGCTGGAGGGAAGGATTGATAAGAGAAGCACAAATAGAACACTCCTGTTGGGTGCAAGGGGATGGGAAGAAAGGTCAAAGGGAAGAAGAGAAACACAAGGACCCCAAACACTGTCACGAATGATTCCATAAAAATTCTTAGTTGACGAAAATAGTGTGAATTTTCTCATCTTTCTGGTGATTCATCCTTAAGCCAGGAAGACTCAAATGAAGTTTGACTCTTGGTAGATCTGTGATGGAGTAAGAAATTCCTCACCCATCCCCTTACCTATGTAAGTCACATCCACATAATGCGGATCTGAGGTGTTGCTTCCCATCTGGTTCGTGGCGTTTACTGTGATGATGTACACTGTCCAAATGGAGGTGTGCTTCTTGTCAAAGTAACAGGAGTTGGGGCCACTGGTTTTGTAGTCTGGACATTCATAGGTGAACGGATTTCTGTAACATATTATACACCAGGAGTGAGTAAGAAAGTAGTAAAAAGAGCCTAGTTTTTTTTCTTAATAGGTGAATACCACTGGATTTTGGGGATCAGTGCTGAAGAACGGCACCCCCAAGCTTTGAGCCCTGGGAGAGAGACAGGAGAGAGAATGCTGGGGAAGGGGGTGGAAGTGTCACTTCAGAGCTTGCTGACTCTGCTTATCATCAACCCTTCCTTTCTATGGTATCTGGTGGGCTTTGTGACAATATATGCTGGAACTTTCAACAGCCAAGGCACCACCATGCCCGAGGTTCCGCCCCTGGGTCATCTCAGGAAACAGGGACCTTCCCCTGCACCTAACACTCAGGGGGCATGCACATGCAGCATTCGTTGCACATGCAGATTGAATTACATTTCATTTAAAAAAGGTGCCAGAGAATAAAAGCTGACGCCAGCCTATTTCAGATTGCACCAGTCAGCAACAGTGATGTGGCTGTGAAGAAAGATATTTCAGGCCCAAGAGGCTCATCGGTCTGTTCTCCTGAGCCTTGGGGGCCTCCACGCGAGACGCTCCCCACAGGTGTGCAGGAGCGTCCCATTCGGGTTGCCAGTGGAGCTGCTGAATGGGTGACTTGACACCCTGTGGGCCCCAGACGGGCTGACAGCTCTGTGTACACGGAGTGCAGGTGCTGGGCGGTGGGCCAGCTGCTGCTGCCGGTAAGTGGTGCTTCTCTGAGGAAGGAGCCGGCTCTCCCTGGATTTCCAGGGGGCTCCCCCTGAGGGGTAACGAAATCCTCACCCACAGATGACCTCTTTCAGTCCGCCCTGCAACCTGGGCTCCAAATACACCCTCTGGGAGATCAAGGACCTGGGATTAGCAATTTCCTAAGGGAAAAACCTCACCTTCCTAGAGGGCTTTTAATTTTCTTGGACACAAAACTAGTTTGAAAAGCTAATGTTCCATGGTTGTCTTTTTATGTTGCAAAAGTAATTATTACTAAAATAATTACAAATAGCAGCAGGCTTACAGATAAGCATTTGAAATGAACTAACACTCAGCCAACACTTATATGGGACCTTGGGCTGCAGCCTAAGTCTGGGACAGGCAATTGGAAACATTGCTATTGTAGTCTCTCCTGATCCATGGGGCTATGTTCTAAGACCCAAAGTAGATGCCTGGAATGCTAGGGAGTCGAACCACATATATACTGTTGTTTTTCTATACATACATACATGCCTATGATAAAGTTTAATTTTATAAATTAGGTACAGTAAGAGATTAACAACAATAACTAATATTAAAGTAGAACAATTATAACAATATACTGTAATGAAAGTTATATGAATGTTCTTTCTCTCTCTCTCTCTCTCTCTCTCTCTCTCTCTCAAAATACCTTATGCTACTGTACTCACCCTTCTCCTGATGAAGTGAGGGGATACAGGCCGATGTGATGAGATGAAATGAGGAGGACACAGGCATGTGACATAGCATTAGGCTACTATCGGGCTACTTGATGGATCTGATAACCCAAGTGACTAACAGGCGGGTAGCTACACGGGATGACAAAGGGATGACTCACATCCCAGGTGGGATGAAGCAGGATAGTGTGAAATTTCATCACATGACTCAGAATGGCACAAAATTTAAAACTTAGGAGCTGTTTATTTTTTGGAATTGTCCATTTAATACTTTTGGACTGTGGCTGATCGCCAGTCACTAAAACCCCGGAAAGCAAAGCTCCGGATAAGGGGCTACTCCGTGGGAGTGCTGAGCTGGCGGAGGAGCTGACGCACATTGAGATGGCGCTTCAGGGACATGACAGGAGAATGTGGACGTGGATGCTGGGGTCCCTTCCCCGGAAGAAGGAGCCTTGTTAGGGGCCACCCGGGGCCGCGTGGGAGTTCTCACTCAGAAGCAGCCCTGCGTTGCCTGGAGAGCGGGCGCACTCACCCTTCCTTGTTGTAGGTGAGCGTGTAGTTGGTGGGAAGTCCTCCGTCTGGCCCCGGATTCCACCAGCATGAGAAGGTCTCCTTTTCGGTGGAGCGACATTTCGAGATCTCGGGCTTCCCAGGAGGTGACTGTCCTAGAAAAAGCCAGAAGCTACTGGAATCAATCTCAAGGTCCATTCAAGCATTCGATCATCCTGCTGGTGACAAAAGCAGGTTTATGGGACCCTGCCAGTGGTGGGGTCTTGGGTGAAGAGGCCTAGGGGTGGGGGGCTCAGAAATGCCAAGTGCTAGCATCTAACAACCCTCCTCCATGGGCTGCCCCTTGTTGGCAGGTTTTTTTTGGGGGGGGGGGGGAGAGAGAGAGAGAGAGAGAGAAAGTGAGAGAGGGGGGAAGAAAGAGAGAGGACGAAAGAGAGGAAGGGAGAGAGCGTGAGAAAGGGAGAGAGCTTTGCAGTGGTAATGGAGAGGTGGTGGAGGTGGTGGTGGTGGTGTGTGTGTACTGTGTGAGATGGAGATAACAACAACCTAGGATCAAGTGACAAACTGTAAAGTTCCAACAGAGAGTAGGATGGGCTGAGGGGTGTGCTCCCTTCTGGAAGCCCATGGAGTCTATGCAGCTGGTACCCGCCCACGGCATGAGGGTGGCGGTAAAATGAATTCTCCCCCTTTGCTGCCACAGTGCTCTCTGGCACTTGTCACTCCGCTCATTGATCTACGTCTTTCTGTCATTTCCTCACGAGGAACACACCTCTGATCTTTTGTGATTCATTGTGTCACGGGTGCTCCTCCCTCAGTTTCCTCCTCCCCTCCCCCTTCCCGTCTCCTTTCCTTCCTGTTCCCTCTCCTTTCCTTCCTTTCCCCTTCATTTTTCCTTAGTTCCACTCCACTTTGACCTGTAACCCTGTCTCACAGTGTCTCCCCATTATCCCCACCCCCATTTCTGAATCCTGGTTTTCAGTGTCTTTTTCTTTCACATTTCCCCCCCTCTCCTTGGGCTTTTATGTGGTGAGGGACGATGGGCTTCCTTGCAATGCTATGGCTTCTGGGAGACAGGAACCATGGAGAGAAGTGGGGGAGTGGGGAGCTGGTCTCCTGGCTCGGAGCTACCATGATGACTGCCCAGGCCCAGCTGGAAGCTAGAAGGTCTGAAAGAGGTGACGTGGAAAATACAACGTCAAGGGAACAGAATGTTTTAGTTGCCTAAACCCCGAAGTTTTTGGTGAGCTGGCCCCTCCTCTCTTCCTTATCTGCCAGGTCCCAGAGGGAATGTGTGGCCCTGAGAGTTGGCCCTGTCAGTCCTTTTCACTGAGCTGGGAGCCTGCACGCTTGGTTTGGAGTCAGGAGCTGGAAGGAGAGCTGTCAGGTGTGGGTCTCAGCCACTAGGGGGCAGGGATTCCCTCTCTTTTCTCCTCACCCCTCATGCTGGCTCCTGAGCCAGAACTTCTAGCGGAGCAGCGGATCCAAAAGATGGGGCAAGTGGGCACCAGGCAACACTGGTCAGAAAGCAGGATTTAGTGAATGGCATTTCACAGGCTGGGCCGAGGCCGCCGGGCTGATGGTCGGCTGAGCCGCACTGCAGCTCCAAGCCCCACCAAACGGCCCTCCAGCCCGCCTGGCGCTCGCGCTGCCCACGGCAGTCACACTGCTCGTCCTCTCGGGCAATGTCACAGGCTGATGCGAGGGCTTGGGTTTTGCTTGGTTCTCATCATGGCTGGGGAGGAGTGTGTGAAGTAGAAAGAAAAGTTTATTTAAAAAACCCAAGCCCTGTGGCTCAGAAACGAGCAGACAGGCCACTGCTGCTGATCTGAGCTCTTAGCGTTTCCCCGTGGATTCTCCCCATCTCTGTTTCCCTTTGCTCTCTCTCTGAAAGTCTCTCTCACATTTCACTGGCTGCTGGCAGTACCTCTAGAAACTCAATAGAGGACAGTAAAGTTATCAAATGTTCCCTTCACCCACTTTAGAGGAGACAGTTAAAATGAATGGACTGTTGCCTTACCTCCATGAAGTGCACACAGACCCAGGGACAGCCACATAGGCACCTACACACGGGCTCACACACGGGCCCACACACAGGTCCACGGAGCCGCATTAGAAACACACAGAAGTATACTCAAGTGCACGCTTAGAGAAGTATGCACTGGTACACACTCAGAAGTATACCCACACACAGAGGTGCACACGCAGACAGACACCCACACAGGTACACACAGAGAAGCAGTTGCAATCAGGCCCATATGGAGAAGTTAATATACACACAGGGGCACCCCAAAGTATACACACCCAGAAATACGAAGGGTAGACACGCAGGTGCACAGTCTGGGGTAGCTGTGAACTCATTGGCCCCATTAGCACAGGTGGTCGAGTTGGCTGCACCCATTTCCCGCCAGGCAACAACAATCCCTCTTCTCTCTTTATAGGTTTTCTAAGATTTTTCACAGACAGTATTTCATTTGAGGTGGAGGCACCATCACTCTCCTCAAGTTGAAAAAGTGGGAACCCACAGCGATTAGGTTAGGGCTCGAGGTTACACAGCTGGTGGCTGACAGCCCGGCCGCAGCCCTGGTCCCTGGTCCCGGTGCGGAGCTGCTTCGCTGCACCCCCGGGATGAAGGTGCAAGTCCGCACGGAGACAGGCTTTGCACTGATAGTTTGCACTCACGAATGGTGCCAAATACACTGCAAACAACGTCCTAGCAACACATTTTCAGTTCTCAGAACTGCACGGCAAGAGGACCGCGAGGACGCTCCATCCTCCCAGCAAACACCCCCCTCCCCTCCCCCCCTAAAGAGAGCAGGGCGGCTCTTACTTACCGTTCCCTGCGGCAAGGGGACCGGGAGGGGCCAGGCTCCTGGGAACCCAGCTCTGGCCCGGCCCCCGGGGCACATTCCCGTTGAGCACCAAAGGCCTGTCTTCATGACGGGCTCATGAAACCCTGAACAGAGCCCGTCCCGCCCGGACCCAGATACTAATGCAGCCTCCCGCCGGCTCAGCCAGGCTCTCGGTGCTGCCTGGGGGGGGGGGGGGGGGGGGGGGG